ATCATGTGATGTTGTGCACTTCAATTTCTTCTTTACATGTGCAGTGCTGATATTTAACTATACTAGCTGCATGCAATTGAGATGCATTAAAGGTTAAATTTTCCTCTGGTTGATTTATTAACTTTATATCAATTGTATGGTCTCCTCCCAGATTTTGAAGTTGGCTGCTGTGAGAATCAGTGGCATGGTTGAACGTCTACAGCTTTCACAGCAGATAAGAGAGAGTGTGTATCATCTTTTCCAAAAGATTCTTAGTCAACAGACTACTCTCTTCTTCAACCGTCATATTGACCAGATTATTCTTTGCTGTTTCTTTGGTATTGGCAAGGTAGTTATTAGTTGGAGTAACAATTTGAGATCTACGGCGTTCTTGTTTCCCTTACTTACATGTGCATTACTCGTGTCCTGCAGATTTCCCAGCTTAACCTAACCTTCAAGGAAATAATATGCAACTATCGAAAGCAGCCACATTGCAAGACTCATGTTTTTCAAAATGTTTTTGTTGATTTGACCTCAGCACAACGCAATGGGGTTTGTGCCTTTCTACATCCAATAGTTTTTTAAATCACTTTTAGGATTATTTAATCATTTTGAATAATTTTAAACAGAAAACTGGTGCTGACCATGTTGATATCATATCTTTTTACAATGGAATATTTATTCGTGCTGTAAAACCACTTCTGGTTGAGCTCGGGCCCGGTGGGGTATCTCAACATAGTAATACAAATGCAGGATCTAAGGATAATAGCAACGGTAGGTCTTCTTCATTCCCTGTCTTTCTGAATTATCTTCCTTTTTTTCTGTTCTCATTTTTTGTTTGGAGACACTGGTGAATTCCACTTCTGAATGTGTTTTTTTTCATGATATATGACCCAAAATAATTATACTTACATGATGCTTATCAGGTCAATCCCCTGCATCACCCAAGACATCCCCTTTTCCAAGTCTCCCTGATATGTCTCCTAAGAAAGTATCTGCTGCTCATAATGTTTATGTTTCTCCGCTCCGATCTTCAAAGGTAGTGTTACTGCTCTATTATATTATTGCGCTGTGAAGTATGTAAGAAATTTCAGTTCTGATGGTCCTTGAGATGGAATTTCTTTTGACACTATAATTTTTCCTTGAAACAATTTCTCCTTTTACTACATACTGCATTAATCTGTCACTGCTAAAATGGCTTCATCTGGTCAAGTTAATCTGCTTTGAATTTTCATAAATGTAGCGGAACGAGGGGGGGGGGGGGGTGAAGTTCTAAGAAGCCAAAATGAACTTGAATTGTGGAGTTATCCAAAATTCAATGTGTTCCAATTTTGCCACACCAATGACCTTAACTTGACATGCCATCTACTTTCTTTATTCAAGTTTTTGGTTTTTAACACTAATAACTCTATTATAATGTAGTAGTTGTTCATACAATCTCAACCCATTAAGCACGTAGAGTTATTACCCCACTGGGGATCGAACCTGTAATCTCCCATATGAGAGAATCACTATCATGCCGCTGGACCACAAGGTCTTTGGCCAAGTTTTTGCTTTTTGTACTTAAAAAAATGTATTTTAAGAGATAGAATTCGTACTTTCTCATGATCATATCTCATCAAAGTGGATGAGTAAAGGATTACATAGTGCAAACTGGAAATCTTACATGGGTTACTGAATCTTGTTTGCAGATGGATGCTCTAATATCACACAGTTCTAAAAGCTACTATGCTTGCGTTGGAGAAAGCACCCACGCATACCAGAGCCCATCAAAAGACTTGACCGCCATCAATGACCATTTAAACGGGTATGCGCATTCATCACTAATACTCTCATCCAAAACATAAAACCCGGATTAAATCCTAACAAGCCCTCTCAAACCAAATGGAAATTTTTTTTCAGAAGCCGAAAGCCCAGAGTTTCACTCAATTTCGACAACAATGTGGATGTGGGCTTGGTCAGTGACTCAGTTGTGGCCAACAGCATTCGCTTTCAGAATGGAAGATGCGGATCCTCGTCTCCGCCAGATTCATGAGTCGGCTGCTTTCATATCTCTCTCCCTTGTAAATCCTCTCCCTTCCTCTAATTTATTTCTTTGCCATTTTTATGGTCTTTTCTTTTTTAAGGCAATGGCAGTGTAAAAGAGAGGACCCTGGAGAATGGAGATCATCATCCTTGGGGGTGCCTTCTTCCATGTTTTCCAGAACTCATACTGTAGTTGTAGATGTTTTCTTCTCTACCAACTTTACTAATAATAAGATGAATGAATATTACAGCTAATTATAATAAAGTTGTTAAATGAAATGTTAAAGGCCATGTTCTTTTATATTATAACCCGGGTATGGTGGCTCGGAAGGTGTGTAAAGTAGCCAACTGCACAGGACCCCTAAAATTTTGAGGTCCCATGTTTTTAAATTCGTCATTAATTTTGAAGTATAAGTTCTCTAAAATAAAAAAATATGGTCCAAAATGTAAATTTGGGATCGGGCTAATTTTATTTTTTTATTTTTCGTGGCCGGCCCTGAACTCGGGAATGGTGTTGGAAATTTAAATGCACATTTGGTAATGGAAGCACAATTTTTATTTTTTTACTGCTTATATTTAGTCATAATATTCTATACTAAGATCAAATCATTTGATTGTGCTGCTAGAATAAGTTGGTTATTATAAAAATACTTGGATTACTCTTTTTTTTTTTTGAAATCTACTTTGATTGGTTTTTGTTGAATTCTTCTAAACGAACTTCTAACATAATTGCATGGATATTCCTTGAAGGAGCCTGAGTTGGGTGTTTTTTTTTGTGTAAATTGATTGTTTAAAGAACATTTTAAACAAATTGTTAGATGCTGGTATATAACATCGAGTTCAAAAACCCAAGCAATGTCATGTTTTGGGAATTTGGATTTAGATTTTATTCTAAATTTGATTCTAATTATATGCTTGGGAGTTGGGAATATATAGAAGTTGGGGTTGAAATTGTGCCAAATTTTTCCCATTACCATTAAGGTAATGTTTGTGAATTACGGAGTAGCTTTTTTCATTTCAATTCTAAAAATTGAGTTCTTGAATATAAATTGACAAGGGTAGGTATATAGATTTGTACTCGAGTTTTGTTATGAATTAAATACATTCTCCTCAAATTAAAATACGGAGTATCAAACTTTAAGATTGTCAAACATGAATTTTGAACCAAATTTGAAATCTAAATTTGAATTGTCAAACTTGCCAAAAATTCAATTGCAAATTCATACCTCTCCATTTAATTTATAAATTCATGTCATCTTTGTTGGTCTGAAAATCATCTTCTATCAGTCAATTTTTTATTATGTCCCAAGCATCCCGCCTATCTGCCCATGATACCCTGTCTCCGCCCACGATGACATCGATACGAGTACATCACAACACCGTGTTTGGCTAGTACAAATTTTGTTTCAGCTTTCTCGTTAATTATCCATGCTCTTCCAAAATCCATATCTCAAATCAAATTTCAAAATTGAGTTCTTATAATTTCTAAATAGCATTTTGAATTTAAAATGATGTACGGAGTATCAAATTTTGGAATTGAACTCCAAGAGTTCAAATGAATTTTGGTTTTCAAACATTACTCAAGACAATTTCATAAAAGTATTACTCCTTTTGTCTTGAATTAAGTTTCATATATAGTCGGACATGATTATCTAAAATCAAAAAATTAGTAATCCTATCCCCCTCACCCCCTAGGTTTACACCAACACAAATATTGGTGCATTAACACAAATTTACACGGACACAAAGTGTTGGTGCGTTAACAAAAATTAGTTTTACACCAGCACAAAATAATGTTGGTGCAAACCTACGGGGTACAAAGTGGGTACAAAAGAGTGGGGTAAAAGTAGCTTTGTCCGGCGTGGCATTGCCACCTCAGCTATGATCACGGATGAACACCCTCCATTGCGTGAGCTGTTTGCATGAACTTCGGCGTGGCCACCATGGTTGGGCGACTCTTTTTTTAAGTTTTTTTCATTTTATTTCATTTTCGTATTGAATCCTCTATTTTGATCATAACAAATTGTATGCAAGTCATAAATGAAAAATATTTTGTCGTTGGAAACGTGTTCACAAGATATACCTAACGACACCGGCATTACATATATAATTTTGATGTTATGTCTCGCTTATATTTTCGCTCAAATATTTATGAATTGAAAGCTTATGTCTTATTACTTTTTTTGAAGGATTCACGTTTTAAGTATAAGTTATGTTTCGCTTATACTTTCCTTTTAAATTAAACTTGTTTATGTTTTTTTTTTGTTTTTTGTTTTGCTATAAAAAAAGGTAAAAGAAAGAAATCTGCACTATTTTTTTTTTGTGTGCAGACTACGCCGGACAATGTAGACGTTAAAGAAGTCCTCGATGATAAACGAATTGCAAGACACGCTTAAATTAGTGTTACTTGTATTATTATTTTTGTTTCATGTATCTTTTTTAAACAAATCTAGTTTAGAGTATTTCTTTATTTTATTGCTATACAATAAAAAGAAGGGGAAAAAATTTAAAAAACAAGAAACCCAAAAGAAAAAAAATAGTTAGAAATACCCCAAAAAATAATAAACCCAAAAGAAAAAACAAACAAAAATATGCAATAAACCGAAAATTAAAAAAGAAATATTCTTTTTTAAAAGATAGAAATTCTAATTTGAGTAAAAATAGGTTAATATTAAAAGAGTGTAATCAGTGAAACCGAGACACTACAAGTATAAAGTCAGTGAGATGATAAATACAGTCAATGCTGGTGTGACACTAAGTGACTGCTAATTTAGTGAGTAGTGATAGAGAGCTACAAATGGTCTAAATGTCTAATGCATACTACTCTAGGGTAAAAGAAAAAAAAAAGGCCTTTTTCTTTATAATAATTTAAGTGCTTGTGCCACAACACTATATCATTTTTAAGAGTAATAACGTGAGGGATGGAAACCCACACTTCCAATTTTCAAATGAACCCAAGGCTCTAAAGTGCATTAGTTTTAGCATTTTAAAAATCCATCCAATGGTGCCTTTTACTAACCATTTTCAAAGTTAAAACCAATTAAAAGAACCTGCTCTCAAACGAAATTGAAACCACTTTAGAACTTTTTCAATAAGAATCAAAAGAACTTCACAATTGGGTACACATAGTTCCTCTACTTTACCCAATAATCTTTTCAACATTGCAAGGTCATGTTATTGAAAAAGTATGTCCTTGAGAGGTCTCCCTCTCACACGAACCCATAAGGAAACAGCTGATGATCCTAAGCTTCAGTTGTTTTGTCTCCCGTCGCGCACTGAGATACATACGGCTTTAGCTGCGAAGACACACCGAGAAAGGCGTTTCCCAATTAGAATATGCCGTTTTGAAATTGACAGAAGAAGAGTTTAACTGTAAACATAAGGCGAAACTTCATAGAGCTTAAGGAAAGTGTTGAAACGTGAAAAAGAAGTGTTTAGAATTTGCTGAGAGGAGAGAGACTTTTCGAGCCACGCATTCTTTTCTTAAAAAAAGGAAAGTGAAGATCTTTTTGGCCTTTTGGGGTGGATAAAAAGGGAAAGAAGGAAGATCTTAATGGGACGGAGGGAGTACCTTGAAACCAGTTAGATCTGGAACCACATAATTCGGAAGCTTTTCAGGAACTACGACATACCCACCTGCACCATAATAGAATTGGAACTTAAAGATTAAACCTTTTTATGTTTAAAACCATTCATACGAAATACCCCTTCATTGCCAATGAAGCTAGAATAGTACTCCATAGTCCATACTTATTGACAACATTTTAACTTTAGTTAAATAATGGACTATCCAACAAAATCAAAATGGCACATTAGAACTACTTCGGTTCTAGGCTAGAATTATATGCAATTTTTGGCGGTAAAGGTATCAAGTGTGTAATATAAACAGCGGAAATTTTTGGCGGTAAATGTATCAAGTGTGTAATATAAACAGCCTGTTTACTACTCGTTAATTGGGGGTAAATTTGTGCACATCCCAAAATGAGTTTGAATCATTATACAGGATGTTGCAGTTGTAGTTGTGATACCATGCACACACCAATTCCAACTTCAGCAACCAAGAAATCGGAACTCACATATAAACGCAGCAACAAACACCCAAGAACAATTAAAATAAAGAAGAAATTGTTGATAAATTGAAAATCGAGGATGTTAAACCTTTGCGAGTGTGAAAACCAGTTGGCTTGCAATTCTTGCCCTTGTAGTAGTTCCTTGGACCAGTTTTGGAAGTAAGAATCTGGAGAGAAGCAGTGCGCTTTCTCCTGAATGTCCTCCCAATCCCTAGGAGTAGCCCCAGCGCCATTTTCTGACTGCCTTCAAAATGATTAGCCTGTTGGTGATTGGTACAAGGAACAACCAACCCGATGTACAAAAAATTACAAAAGGAAATGAACATTCTAGATTAAAACCGTCTAAAATTTCCTACAAAAAATGTAACCGCATTTACGTATATACATTCAGATGCACTGAAAATTGGAAATTTCTTATTAAAAAGCCTTCTCATACAAGGTAATATAAGGATATGCATTTTTTTTATTTATTCTAACTTTATTAATCTGCTTGTGTGAAAAAATCCATTATCTATGGTAAAAATTGCAGTCTCCCATGTCCTTGGTGTTTGTTTAAAGAAGAATGTTGAAACCCCTAATGTTCTAATGTCGTAAGAGGCATCTCTATTTCACCCATCCGAGTACCAAAACATTATAAGAGAAGCAAACTTTAGTACTTGACTACTTGGTATGCATAATAAATTAAAGCCTTCATATCCAGAATTCCAGGGTGGACCCAGAAATTTTAGGTCATGGCATTCATAAACATTCATATCCACACAGACCACACTCCATATGTCGGGCATTAAGCACAACAATAATAATAATCCATAAATCTCACATAATAAGAGCATGTTTCTAAATCTATGGTCTACTATGAGTTATGTACTCATAGTTATGAAAGACGAGAGGCGGGTGGCAGGCGATCAAATGGCGAACCAAAAAAAGCGAATACACACACACACACGAATATTATACACACACACACACAGAGACACACACATTCACAAACACGCATACATATATACATGTATGTAAACAAACACAACATAGATAATAATGTAGTTATAACATCCAAATAAATAAAAATTGTCATAAGTTCATAACATCCTAATAAAAGAGACTTTGAAATAGACTAAGAAGCCACGTAGACTATATAGATGAAATTACAAAAGGGGGAAATTGAGAAAACCAAGTGTAACACCCCGGTCCCCACCCTGGCCGTAAGCGTCCGCTCATAGGATTGTAGATTGGCCCCACAAACCAACACAAGTCTTTCCCGCACACTTTGTCCTCACTTGTGCGCGTCCAAGGAATTTTCTAGGGAATGACCCATCCTAGAATTGCTCCAAGTCAAGCACACTTCACTTTGGAGATTCTGAGTGATGAGCTCTCGAAAAGAAAATGCACCTTGTTGGTATGAGTAGTACTATCAATCCTTTTTGAGCTTTTTCTTTCCCCAATCCATTTATTTTCAAATCAAGGTATTACATTCCCCCCACTTAAGAACGCAACGTCCTCGTTGCATCCTTTTTTTCAAACCCCTAGATCTTCCGCGCTAGGTGAACTAAGCTCTTTTGGCTCGTCACGGTCGCAGGGTTGCTTTGATACCATTTGTAACACCCTAGCCCCCACCCTGGCCGTAAGCGTCCGCTCATAGGATTGTATACTGGCCCCACAAACCAACACAAATCTTTGTCACACACTTTGTCCTCACTCGTGCGCGCCCAAGGAATTCCCCAGGGATCCATCCTAGAATTGCTCCAAGTCAAGCACGCTTAACTTTGAAGTTTCTGAGTGATGAGCTCTCGAAAAGAAGATGCACTTTGTTGGTATGAGTAGTGCTATCAATCATTTTTGAGCCTTTTCTTTCCCCAATCCATTTATTTTTAAATCAGGGTACTACACCACGACTGTACACAAGAAGAGATAAAATTACAAAAGGGGGAACTTAAGAAAATCTAGGAGCCTTCTAACTGTTTCAGGACAGGAGACGTAGTGGTGTGACTCTTTACCTGCTTAGGAAATTTAATTTTTTTCCTACAAATTCAATCGGTGAAGCGCTGATTTGGAGTATCGTAATCAAATCTGTTAGATAGGATTGATTACGCGATTTGACAGTTCAAGATCCAACTCGTCGGTCCTACCCGATCCAAGAAATCTTCAACTCTTGCAGCAATTCAGACCGCATATATGAGAAGTACTCGAATCACGCAATCGCACTTGACAGTCCTACCCAATCCAAGTAATCGATTCTTACAATGATTCAGATCGCAGCGATTCAAATTACGATTTTAGCATGCGCCATAGATTTGAACGAGAAAGGCGACCGCCATGGCGTGCCTCACGTATGTCACCTCGCCCAACCTTATTCAGGCGTTGGACGGTCACCACAACGCCATAACTGCTATAAGCGACTATGGCGAACGCCTTTCATAACTATGTATGTACTCTAGCTCTTATTGCACATATATACCGAGTAAAATATAATTAGGAGTATATTAGTATTGGATTATAATCACGAGGGTAGATAACCCAAATGATAAACCCCACTTAGTATTTAATCTGTACTACTTTGTATTACATGTTAAGTGGGTGTGTGATCACCTTAAAGAAGCATTGTTTATTTAAATTTTGATGTAAAACTTATAGTGATAAATTGAAGAGGAAGCACTTGTAAAACTGCTAATTATGAAAGACTCATGGTGTATAGATAGTAGTAGTCTAGTCCCAATGTGCCCGAAACTTCACAGAAAGTCCGTTCGAAACTAAAACATTGTCAATAATATGTGGTAAAGTAGTAATTCCACATGATATGCGTTTAAAGTACTCCAGCGATCCAATTGAAGCAATTGTGCACTTAACATACCAAGTAACCAAGACTTTAACAACATTGCAAATGATCCAACCTACTTTGCACTGACATTAGACGTCGTTGATGCAATTAATGATTACATGGCATCGATGAATCATGAATGTTAGTGAGGAGTCTAGAACATACCTAAGCTCTGATAGCATTTGTAAGTCAGACTCCAATATAGAAGTACTGGCAGATTTACATTCACCTGAGTTTTTGAATAACATTCGGGCTTCTGGAGTCCCAAACCACGAGCTTACTTTGAAGGTTGGTACACCAATAATGCTGCTTAGAAATATTGATCAACCCATGGGTTTGTACAATGGAACAAGACTAATTGTGACAAGATTGGGGAATCATTTGATCCAAGGGAAATTGATGACAGAGAAAAATGCCGGTCATGAAGTTGTAATCCTTAGGCTCTCATTAACCTCTTCAAATGAGAGGATTCCATTCAAGTTTTAAAGGAAACAGTTTCCCGTCATGACTACATATGCAATGACTATTAACAAAAGCCAGGGACAATCTCTATCGCATGTTGGTGTACTGCTTAAAAAACCAGTATTCAGTAATGGTTAACTTTATGTGACTATTTCATGTGTGACAAATTGACAAGGATTAAAGATCTTGAATTGCAACGAAGAAAACAATCCTCTGGATCATACGTTGAATGTTGTGTATAAGGAAGTTTTACAGAATTTATGATTATTTATATATTTAACTAATATCATCCAATATTTATTGCTACGTATACTACATAATACCAAATTTTAGCATATATTTGACAGTTAATGACTTATCGTCGTATCAGTAATTATGGATTGTTTTTATGTTTCATATCGTTTATCACCAAATAAAATTCTCGCCATGCATCGCACGGGTTAGAATCTAGTACGGAGAAGCTGAAGAAGAAGCTCTTTTACAACTGCTAATTATGAAAGACTCATGGTGTATAGATAGTAGTAGTCTAGTCCCAATGTGCCTGAAACTTCACAGAAAGTCCATTATGTGTCTGAAACTAAAACTTTGTCATTAATAATTTATTGACTGAATCAAAATAATCTTTTCTAATAAGGTGTTTTCCGAAATTAATCTTAAATAAGCAATAATTATCAACATGGCCTTTTATAACTGAGATATATTCCCTAAACAGTCATGTGTCAAAAATGCCTGTTAAATGAAGGGTATTTTGGCATTTTCAATCATTTAAATTATGACTAAGTCCTCAAAATGGCCCTTTCAAATTAAGTGAGTGGCTGCTAGAGTAACGGACCCACCCCGAGTGGGCTTATGGACTCCATTTCAGAAAAATACTTACTTAGAAATTATCATTTTGGAAAAACACGTAATTATAAAGGCGCCATAGTTATGAAAGGCGAGTGGCGAGTGGCGGGCGAGAGGACCTTTTTTGTGGCGAGTGGCGTGGCGAGTGGCGGGCGGTCAAATGGCGAACAAAAAAAAGCGAGTATGTATGCACACACACACATATATATATGTGTGTGTGTATATACACACACACACAAACAAATTGTGCATGGCATATCATAAAGTTTTAAACAATATATAAATCTCAAAGGAAAACAAAAACAATAAGTTGCTAAGTTAAATTCGAAGAATAAAACATAAATTATTTTTCCATATTTATCATATACTCGATAATACAAAAGTTAAAAATATAATACAAAAATTTAAAATAAAAGTATAAAACACAAATTAAAAAAGCTAATAAGAATTGAAAAGTGACCTAGTTGACTGCCGACACCACTTGGAGGAAATTGACTGAGANCGAGTGGAAGAGATGATCGAGTTATGACTGGAAGCCTGGAACAACGATCAGGTTACGGGAAGAGGTAATTGCAGATCTTTTATTAGAAACGGGCTCAAGCCCAATTTAATTGCTCCTTTGGATGAAGTCTGGACACTGAAAATATTGACCCACAACTTAATTGCGTCAATTGCGAACGCCATACGCCATAATTAGCATCGAAAATGGCGATCGCCATTCCTCGCCTCAAGGACATCGCCATGCACAGCCCAATCCAGGCGCTCTAGCCTCGCCACAGCGCCATAAACGCCATAGGCGATCAAGGCGCTCGCCTTTCATAACTATGAAAGGCGCATTAGAGAATATACTTTAAATCTAAATGATAAAAAATACTGAAATACCTCCCAATTAACTCTTACTCATAGTAGTATAATTATGTACGGTAAAAGCTAGCTGAGAATTCGTAAAGTTCTCCTTGCATTTTTTAGAGCAAATTGATTGATCACATCTTAGTGAAATCAAATGCACAAATACAAACTTTAAATTTCAAAAAAAAAAAACAGATATTCAGATTATTAAATTAATAGATTTTCAGATTTTCACAACAAATTCATAACAATTAGCAAAAATTTCAAATAAAGATTTTCAATTTTTCACATGACAAATTCATATAATAAGTTGTCAAATTTACAACCAAAATTCATAACAAATTCATAACACAAATTTATAAAGATGAAACATTTTCAGATTTTCACATGACAAATTGTAAAATTCTTAAAGAAATTATGTATTTTTTTTACCTCCGTACCTGGACTCCTGGACCTGGAGGCTGAAGAGTTTCCGGCGAGGCGGCTAGACTCTGGAGCAGTGAGCGTGCGGGCCGGCGGCGGCGGCGACTCTCTCTCGGCGACTTCCTTCTGGCGTCTTTTTCAATTTCCGTCCGTGCCTTCGTGGGTTTGGCCGTTTGGCTACTTCCTCTTTCTACTGTGGAACGGAAATAGGAGGGCTAGGGAGTTTTGGACTTTAGCTGGGCTGGGCTTCAATATATACATAATTTTTTAAAAAAATTAGGTCCCTTAAGTTATTGCGCCTGGCCTGGTCGGACTGCTGGGCCGGCCACTAAGGCACTAGATCTAATGAGTGGAAATCACTCAAAGACATAAAGATTCAATCTTTTGATCACAAATATCTACTCCGTACTAACATACCTCTCATATACGGAGTACTCCGTATTTTAACCCACTTCCCAAATAATCTGAATTGATGAAAAAAGTCAGTCAACCATTGTCACTAGTGTTTTTACAATTTATATAAAGCCAGGAAGGAAGCGAAGTAAGTTTTGAAAGCAGAGAGAGCAACGATATATACTCCCTCCGTCTTGGAAAACATGAGAGTTTTGGTTTTGGAGAGGGATTTAAGAGAAATGTATTTTGGTTTTGAATTTCCAAAAATGTCCTTTGATGTGATGGGTAAAAGTATGATTTGATGGATAGATTATTACTAAAAAAGTATGATGTGATAGGTAGGGTATGAAAAAGTAATGGGTAAAAGTGACTTTTTAATAGAAATGAGAAGTGTTTTTTGGGACGGATGAAAAAAGAAAGGAGAAAGGTTTTCTGGGACGGAGGGAGTATTTACCAAGCCACATGGAGTATCATTGCAATAAACTCGTTTATGGAACTTATGGTTATAGTTTCAATATTTTTTTAATGTTGTGAAAAAAGTATTCAGTGGTATTGTTTAGCTTTAAGTCTTTAGCGTTTCAATAATAATATGCATATTAAAAAGTTATCCAATTTTTTTTGAATAAGTTATCCAAAATATTAATGTTAATTAAAGAGTTATTTCCAAACAAAACAAGTTCTTAAATAATATTTCTTTAGTCTTACTTAGCTTGAATCTTTATACTTTTCATTTTTTATTTGTTTCATTTGATTCTTTATGCTTCTTTCTACCATTCAGTTCCGTCGTTCACTTTATATCACATTAAACCAATATCTCTACCCCCAATTTAAACCACTCCTTTTTTTCCTTCTCACATTATCACTTTTCAATTATTATTCCATTTTATTTTTTTCCTTTAAAAATCGTGAAATTTTCTCTCTCAATAACTAATTTTGCCGGAGAGTAATTTTTTAAACTACTTTTTTCATTTCTTCGTTTTGAATAAATTATTTACAAATTAAAACTATTACTCGCTATTTACGCTCATCTTCAAACGACTTATCTATTATTTAAATCAATTTACTCACACGAAAAAAATATTTAACTCATAAATAACTTACTCCATATAAATTAAAATTTGTTTATAAATACTCTATAATAGGAACGACAGAGATATGCACATGTATGCTGTATGCATTATTTATGGTATATTTGTATGCATTATGCATTATTTATTTTCTCTGAACGACTTTCGGTTGTTTCTTCCACAGTTTGTATTGAATTTGCTTGTAAGCATTACATACTCCGTATTAATTAATAATTGTGAGCTGTCTAATTGATTGTTTCTTAACTTAAATCCCCATAAAACAATTGATATATATGGTTGATACCATGTATTTCACAAACATACACCCACTAACAATTCAAAAAAGAACATCTAATTCTTTGAATATCAGAAGGACCATTGGTGAAATACGACCATTAGTGCTCCAACACGTATTATTAATGAACATGTGATTAACGCACTCTCAGATTTTACATAGAACAATTATTGGTGCGATATTTTTAAAAGCTCAGGGCTATTGGTGCAATATAATTTTTAAAGTTTAAGTTAAATCTACATAATTTTTGAAAAGTTTAAAAGTGGCGCAAAAAGATTGTTTTCCATAATTTAGAAGGAATTTACTTGAGCAATAACAATTTGTACTTTGTGGGGTTCATGATTGCCTAGTATGTTAACGATAAGTGGATAATTACCTTGCATCTTTGACAATGACATACACCAGACACCAAATGTGAGATACAATGTCAAGATTAACAAGAGGAGGAGTGGAGTGTGAACAATGGTTACTCATATCTCCATTTCATATTTAAGTCTAGCTTTAACTCTTTAATATTGAGTTTAGTTTTGTCACAATGTTTGAATTTTTAATTTATAATTATATTTTGTGAAAGTACATAATAATGGTATATTGAAAGATATCCTTTGGATACACATGAAAAAAATGAATAAACAAAAAATCGTAGTATGGATTGATTTTTTAAAATTTTTACGGTGTATTTGTATTCAATATCAATGTTAAAACTGTCTTTCTTATTAAAAATATTTGTTCTAATTATAAGCTATGTTTTTGAAAAATCAAACATGTAAAACATGAACCTATCTGTATACATACGCTGAACGTATAAAGTGTATATATAATAAGACGTATTTTTAAAATGTGACCCGTATCATACATGAACATACGAATAAACATATCATACATGCATCCAAATAAGGTAACAGAGGTTTGACATTGATACAGAGTACTTTATTTCTTAAATATTTCAGACTTGTATATATTCTTAATTTTATTAACTGAATTTCGAGTATTATATTATACTCCGTATGTACTAGCGGCGATCTTATGTACTTCTATGGGAAATTTATCTAGATAATACTAAAACATAATGACTTTTCTAATGCAGTACCGTATGTTTTTATTTCCAAATGTAGTACCAGTGTTCAATGTCCAGTGGTCAGTGTTCAAGTAAATGTCCACCACCAGTGGATATTGTTCAAACTAAATATCCAACATCACTGACATTATTTCCGTCACTAGATATTATTCTCGTACTATTTAAATAAAAAAAATTTAAGTACTACGTACTATACTTTGGGAAAAGACATATGTATGTTTTAGTACTATTTAAAGCAAATTTCACTACTTCTATAGGTTTATCACTCAGTCTTGTACCACGATAGTTTCTATCCACTTCGATCTTGCGCTCTTTCATCTTTTCATATTTTAATTAGTAATTGGATAATGCAATTTGTACCTCAAGAATTTGTACTCATTTTATACACCGCAAGGATGGACCAACATTTTGTGTTGGTGTAATACTAATTTTTGTTAAAGCACCAACATTTTGTGTCAGTGTAAATTTTTGTTTACGCACCAATACTTTGTGTCAGTGTGAACCATCAAAATGTTGATGCATACCTTTGGTGTACAAATAGGGTACAAATTTTGGGGTACATGTAGCATGCTCCTTTAGTAATTAGTTAAAAGACTTAACACGCTATCCCAATAGAAAAATAGTTAGTACCATCCAATTTTATACTCGGTATTTTGCACCAACAGTGTAACTAATTAAAATTTAAAAATGATTTAAGAATGTAATTAATTATGGGAGTACTTTAACCATACAAAATGTATAGAAGTACAAAATGAATTTCTCCCTCTGTCTCCATTTTGATTACACATTTATTTTCTCTCTTCTGTCGATAACTTTTGCTTATTTGTGTTTTTTTATTGATTATTTGATAAAATAAAATATTTTTGTCACATTTTATTTTGTAGATTTTGGACGTAGTTTTTTAATATGTAGTTTTTAGTTTTTTATTAATTTATAAATAAAATGATTTCAAAACTTATAAATAAAATGATTTCAAAACTTATCGTAATTTATATTTTGTAAACAAAATAGTGACGGAGGGAGTATTTAATTTATTTAGTTAGGGGAGGAATAATAAATAAGCTTATCTAAATTAGTAAATTGGGGCCCATCCCTTGCATGTTCCCTCTAGAAGAAAGACCGCAACATGAACAAACCGAAACCTCAGCACATGACCAAAAAAGCTGACGAAAATGCAAAGATAACAACAAAGAGGTCAGCCCAAAGATTTTCCAATATTAGCCATTTTTTATCCTTCAAGCAACAATCTTCTATATCAATGTCTTCATTCATATCTCCATCATTATTTATTTATTTATTCATACACCTCCCGAACAAATCAAAATCAGTCATCACTCGTCACTTCAACTCCACCCTGAGCTCACCCTCTCAACAAACAAATCTTCATCTCCATCATCATGCATAAATCATAATAAAGTTTCCATCTTTCCCACAATCTTTCCCAGCTCGGGCCCTTCCAGGTAAAGGTTATGATTATTATAACCGATTGGAAATTTCAATGTTTCATTGGTTTTCATTCAATCTTTTCTTGTTTTAATGTGTTCCTTTTGTGAATCTTGACCGATTTTTTCTGCTGTTTCTGGCCCATCTCTGATTTAGCAGTTTGGTTATTCCTCAAAGCTCAAATCTTTTGTTCAATTTGTGTTTCTTACAGAGTATTACATTGCTAAAAGAACTATATATAGTTGACCATGTTTTAGCTTCCATAAATAATGGGATAAATCACAATGACAGATTTAATTTTCTTGTTTCTTGCTTTCTATGAAATTATGCAATAAATACATAACGGATTTGGGATTATATTGGATTTTGTTGTTGTTATTTTTGTAATACAAATCAACATGTAAAGCCATTGTGACACTTCTCCAATAGGTTGAACTGCTAGAATGGAAGCTTTTGGTTTTAATTTCAGTAGACTTTTTGGAATAATATCATTTTCATGTAAATGACTTTGCATTTCTGCAGCACTTGAATAGGATAGGGAGTCTCTTGACTGAGGTTGAGAGAAGCAATGGGTTCAGCTTCATCCCTTTTGGGCATTTTCAGTTTCTTTCTTTTTGGGATTCTTTCACTAAACCAGTGTTCCGGAACCGCTGTCGATTCCCAGTTAGCATTGCTCCATGTCGATGCCTCAGAAGCATCAGCTAAGAAAATACCCAACACGTTGTTTGGTTTATTCTTTGAGGTAAAGCAAATTGGATCAATATATATTACCCCAACTTGGAAGTAGAGAGATTGTTTACAAAATAAACGCAGTAGCGCGAACAAAGTAAGAGCACAAACACAAGAAGTACACATATCAACACCAACACCTAGGCCCTAGCACTAAAAGCACACAAATCACAGTAAGCACAAGCTAAGACTAAGGGACAAAGGTCTACCTAATTAATCTAATCCCGGCAAAATTTTGTTTTTCAGGAAATTAATCATGCTGGTGCTGGTGGTCTGTGGGCAGAGCTTGTGAGCAACAGAGGTTTTCTTGATTGCTTTTCATTTATTCATTTGCTTGAATTGTTTTCTTGTTTCTTATCATGTCTGGGTTTTATTTCTAAATGTAGAATATCTCTGTATGGATTTATGCAATGAGAAATTTTCACCCGTACTTGTGAATCTTGATCCTAGAGAAATCTGAATATGATCTTTGTTAGATTTTTACCTGAAACTTGATTTCAGGTTTCGAGGCCGGGGGTCAGAATATCCCCTCCAACATTGATCCTTGGTCAGTTATAGGGGATGAATCTTCTTTGACTGTCTCCACTGATCGCTCGTCTTGCTTCGAGCGCAACAAAATTGCACTCCGGCTAGCAATTCATTGTGGTGGTGAAGGTGCAAATGACTGTCCAAATGGGGGAGTTGGAGTTTACAATCCTGGTTTCTGGGGCATGGTAAGATATCTAGCTTTGTGGATCACTTAACAAGACCATAATACACATGAGCCAAACCACACTAAGGGTCTTTTTGGTGAATAAAATCGGTATGGGTTTTGAAATCTGGGATGTTTGGTGAAAATAAAAAGGGATTCAGGGTCTGTTTGGTAAGCAAAACCAGTTTGGGTTTTGATATCTTCTGAATTTCTCTCTTTGATATTTCAGTGTGGGGCTCTCTCTTAACCACAACCAGTACTAACATGTCTCTCCGTACTTTTTCTTCTTCTTGTAGAATATAGAGCAAGGGAAGAGTTATAAACTTGTGTTTTATGTACGATCACTTGAAACGCTTAATGTTTCGGCATCATTGACTGCTTCAAATGGGCTGCAGAAGTTGGCTACTGCTAACATTATGTAAGAAATTACCTAATGGCAAATGCTATTTTTTCTGTTACTGAATAATAATAATAATAATAATAGTTTCATATACTATGTGAATTTTACTTATGTTTGAATTGCAGTTCCTCTGATGTTTCTAACTGGACAAAAATAGAGGTGCTTCTGGAAGCAAAGGGAACAGATCAGAATTCGAGACTGGAGCTGACTACGACAAAGAAAAGCGTCATATGGTTCGATCAAGTGTCATTGATGCCTGTTGATACATACAAGGTATGTAAATCCTTCCTCAACTCCGCATTGGTACGAGTTGGTCAAACCGGAGTGAATTTATTTTAGGACACCTATCAAAAAAGCCGCATACTAATGGATTTAAATTAATTAACCAAAAGCTCAAGCTTGTAGTTATAGATCCAAGAGTTTTTTTATATATTCTAACAGATATTAAACGCGTAAAAACTAATAGAGCTCTCTATGATCAGGGGCATGGCTTTCGAAATGACCTGTTTGGGATGCTTAAAGATTTGAAACCAGCATTCCTCAGATTTCCAGGTGGATGTTTTGTTGAAGGTGAATGGCTGAGAAATGCGTTCCGGTGGAAAGAAACCATTGGAGCATGGGAAGAGAGGCCAGGGCATTTTGGTGATGTTTGGCATTACTGGACTGATGATGGGTTAGGGCATCTTGAGTTCCTTCAGGTCCCAAACACTTCCTTTGAAAATTATATTTATAATTTATTACTTTACTTTCTGTAAGTAATAGAGTATATGCATTTTGTCTACGCCAGCTTGCCGAAGATTTGGGGGCACTGCCAGTATGGGTGTTCAATAACGGTATGGAGGTCATTTAGCGCCTCTCTTCTAAAAATCCTGCATTTTGTTGCTAGTGTTACAACAGGTTTGACACCAAGAGTTTCACAAACGTATACAGACAGTCATGGTCTTCTGTGACACACAATGACTGCCAGTATATAAGTCTCAGTGGAGAACTTGGTGTCAAACGTGGTGAGTTTCTAGCATTTTTGTTTTGTCCCTGTGTGGGGCAGCCGGCCCCTCCTTAGGTGACATTCCCAAGTTTTTTTAGCACCTTGGGGATGGTTTAGAACATCATTTGACTTGCGTCTACAAATAGACGATGAAATAAAAGATCTTCATTTTTTTTCCCTTGTCAGGAATCAGCCATAATGACCAAGTTGATACGCCAAGCATATTACCATTTGTGCAAGTACATTATCTCCTCTTTTGCAATAGACATTTTGGTTATATTTCCCAACGGACACGTGAATAATGTGATTCTCTAACCAAATGTTATTTAATTTATTGAACAGGAGATATTAGACGGGATTGAGTTTGCGAGGGGGGACCCCACCTCAACATGGGGTTCAGTTAGAGCTGCATTGGGTCACCCGGAACCATTTGATTTGAGATACGTTGCGATTGGGAACGAAGACTGTTGGAAGTCAAAATATCGTGGTATGTCACATAGTCTTTTTTTAGTAATATTTTTAAATATATGAATTGGAAACGACGCCATTATCATTACATGACTCAGGAAATTACCTCAAGTTCTACTCTGCAATCAAACAAGCCTATCCAGATATTCATATAATCTCAAACTGTGATGGCTCTTCCCAACCATTGAATCATCCGGCTGATTTATACGATTATCATGTAAGCTTCTTCCCATATGCTCATTTTTAGCACATAACAAATACTCAGCTGGCAATGCCTGAAAATGCAACATTTCCCATGTGTTAGATTTATAGCTCCGCAAGTACGGTGTTTTCTTTGGCCAACAAATTTGATCACGTGCCACGAAGCGGTCCGAAGGTACGTTATAAATTTCCCATGAGTGAAGTGATACAGACACTCTTTAACAATTTTCTTTCTTGTAGGCTTTTGTGAGTGAGTATGCGGTGACTCTAAATAAAGATTGTGGCAAAGGCAGCCTTTTGGCTGCATTGGCCGAAGCCGGTTTTCTTATTGGGATTGAAAGAAACAGGTATGCTTTTTTACTTTTTCAGGGGTGGTTTAGTGTAGATACTACTGTACTTTTAAGATTTTAATCAGCTTTGGGTTAATTGCATGTACCTCCCGATGTTTGGCCAAATTACCAAATGACCCTAAAGGTTTTTGAGAGCTGTAAATAAGCCCTTTGAAAAGTTAGTGTTTCTTGCAAACGATGACGTAGGATATAATGATGATTGGACTAAATTACCACCAATATATGACCAAAAGTTGTTATTAGAAAGCTTTAAATATCTTACCCCCTACAAACCCCCGGGCTTTGCCACTATGCCACATATTATGACTCTGACCCTTGGTGTCAAAAGAACCCCACTCTTATTATATTGCTCCTTGGTTCCTCATCCTGAATTTGTCTTCCATTCAGTGATGCTGTTGAAATGGCAAGTTACGCACCTCTGTTTGTGAACGAAAACGACAGGACGTGAGTATTAAACCTTTTTTCCTAAGGTCTCTTAATACTTTCGAAATGGTATTCCTGGACCTCTCTTAGGGGCAAAACCGTCATTTGTGTTAGGTGGAACCCGGATGCCATTGTTTTCACTTCGTCACAAGCATATGGAACTCCTAGTTACTGGATGCAGCAATTCTTCGGCGAGTCTAATGGCGCAACTCTGTTGAGCTCTACCCTCACAACCAACCTTTCAAATTCTCTTCTTGCTTCTGCCATCACTTGGCAGAACTCTGAAGATAATCATGAGTATTTGAGGATAAAGGTTTGATAGGACAATGTTTTTTTTGTTTAACTTTGAAGTCAAAACCCAAATTTAGTGCCTGTTTAGTAAGGGTAAAAGTGGATGAAGTGATTATATCTACAAGAGATTGGATGACTAAAAGGCCAAAAAAGAAGCCTAAAAAAATGGGCTCTTATTTCCTTTCTGTTTTTGTCTTTTTTTCTCATTTTGTTGCATGTATAACGACAATGTAGGCTGTTAACATTGGGGGCAGCAATGTGACTCTTAAAATCACCATAGATGGGCTTCAGCAGAACTCCAAACAGTTATTCGGATCAATGGAAACCGTGTTAACCTCTAGTAACGTTCTCGACGAAAATTCCTTTGTCGAGCCTAAAAAGGTACGAATGATATTTCCACCTTAGAAATTGGGCAACACTTGTGAACTTCATCGACTAATGAAAAGTATTTCATTTTTGGGGCTGATCATGATGATGATGATGATGATGATGGTGATGATGATGATGATGATGCAGGTGATACCTAAGAAAAGCATGCTGCAAATTGCAGGTGAGAAGATGGATGTCGTGCTCCTTCCACATTCCTTCACTTCGTTCGACTTCTTGCTAAAACTGACCGGAATCAAGACTCTAGAATCGGGTGCTAACCATAAATCTTCATACTGATGAGGATATATCCTATGTATGTTTGTATCTTAAAAATATATGAAGGGAATAAAGCCATGTGATGATATGATATGTGTAATGTGTGTGTGGTTGTGTTCTTATAATGTTTGGCTATGTATGTTGCTCTCTTTCCAGTCTGCATAAGCTATATTATCTTTTTTTTCCTTCTTTAGTGTGGGTCATAGTTTGAAAACTCATTGTATAGTGTGCACAAAAAGAAGCTATAATAGTTGTAAAAAGAACATTTATTTTTTATCAGATGATTGTTAGGTGATTGTCCTTTTTTCATTAGGTTATAAATCTTTCTTCGGCTTCTAATCACAAAATAGGTGTCATCCAATATTCTCCGTGGCCAGTCAAAGAGGTGGCCTTAGAATTGGCCCATTGATAGTGTATTAAACTTAACATTTATATCAAACATCTAATATACTAAAATATTACTTCCTCCGTTCGCTATAGATATTCTCAAATGTTTTTTTATTTGTCTGAGAAAGATTTTTTTATTATTTTCTTATCACATTGAAATACTACAATTATTTTTACTTAGTTTATTACATCTCGCTCACTTCATTTAATATATATCTCTCAATTTTATTAATGTTACTTATCTAAATTTTCTCCTTTTTTCATTTTTAAAAATCAATTTGAAAAGATCTCTAACGGATTGACCCAGTATTTTATTTTAAAAAAAATTATTATGAATGGGGACCCCAAAGATGAAGTAGAACAAAAGCACTTACTGAGAGTTGAAAGTGGAAAGCGACCTGGTGGACGGCAGCAGTGGTTTCTAATTTCGAACCAAGAAGAGCTTTGAGGAAGAAGAAGAGAGATGACCGGAGCTGTTGCAGCGGCGTCGTACCTAGCTCGGAGAGCGGCGCAGAAGGAGAGAGTGCGGATTCTCTACCGCCGTGCCCTCAAAGACACTCTCAACTGGGCTGTCCATCGCCACATCTTCTACAAGGATGTACGCCTCCCCCCATTTCTAGGGTTTCTTTCGTCTCGATCTACCACTTTTCTCCCTTTTCACACGCTTAACCACCCCTTTTCCTAACCGGAGAAAGCTCTTTTGCTTCTTTCAGGCCGATGCTCTCAGGGAGAAGTTCGATGCTAACAAGCACGTGGTTCGTCTGCATTTCCTCTCAATTTACATTATTCTCTTTCCCCCCCGAAATTCCCAAATCGATGGCTTAATTTGTTCTTATTTGTAGGTAAAATTTCAATTCTCGCGTAGAAATGGTTGTAAATAACCTAATTTGACCTCACTGTATGATCAGTTCAGTATTTGTTCTTATTTCAAGCTTTTGTTTCTGTGTATTGTAATTGCAGCACCTTGTCAATTCTCACACCTTTTGAATTCTAGTAAGAAAGTTGGGCAATGCTAGGGGTACACGTACCCCATTTGTACACCAGGCTAACACAGACACAAAATGTTTGCATGCACAGGCATTATGTGTCTGTGTTAGCTTGGTGTACAAATGGGATACCCCATGTTGGTGTACCTCTAGGTTAATTCAACAAAGTTTTATTGGCTGCTGCAATTAAATACAGTGGACGTAGTGATTGACGTTTTTATGGTTTTGTAAATGATTTTTTCTTGGAACACGGATTCGTTCTACATCTTCTAGCAGTTTGCTGTCTCAGTTAATTGTGAATGTATATTGAAAGTTGTAGTCATGCTTTAATTGTGGATATAGCCTTAGGTTTGATTATCCTAATCTTTAACCCGCTGGTCGCTAACATAGTTGATTGATGATCATCAAATCAGTAAAAAAACAACTGCTTTACTTTTATGATGTAAGATTTCACATATTTGGTCAATATTTTCCAGAGTCATATTCACTGCCTTCAGGATTGAATCCACACACGGTCTTGTTATCATTCTATTTTGTTGGCACTCAGGAAGATGTTGAGACAATTGATAGAATGATAGCTGATGCCGAGGCGACCTATAATAAGTGGAGACATCCTGATCCTTATATTGGTAAGTTCATTGGTGTTCTTTGACACGGATATTAATTACACGATTAGAACAATACAAGATGATGTGAAACCCAAGCCAGTAAACAACTTCAGTTTTACTTTTACCTCACTTTTGTTGTCATTTTAGTACCAAAAAAATGTCACATTGTATTTCTCGTATGATTAACAGTTCCATGGGCTCCTGGTGGTAGCAAGTTTAACCGAAATCCCGTTCCTCCTTCCGGGGTAAATTGTTTGAGCTATTCTTTTGTCCTTCATCAATCAGTATATAGTAAATATTTACTCCTATTTTTTTGACATGCTTTGTTAACTTTGAGTTGAGTTCTCATGTCCAAATCCACACATCAGTTCTGTTCTCTTTTTCAGGTACGCATACATGCATCACTGTTTGTTCCCTATTGTAATTCTTTGGTTTGCTTTCCGATGCAGATTGAGATAATATATAACTATGGCAAGGAAGACAATGATTAAGGCCAAAACTTTCTGAAGGAAATAATTTGAGGTTAGAATCTTTGCTCCAAACAAAAGGGCTCGGAGCCCCTAGTCAATCAAAAATATTGATCAGCTGATCAGGCAGGTTAGGCTGCTAAATCAGCCTAACCATTGTGCCTGGACCTTTGTTTTTGCCGCTCAATTGTGAATGACATTGTTTGATCATGTTTCAGTCTACTATTTCTCTTACACTTTTACTGGTTTAGAATGAAAAAGGAAGTGTACGAGCTATTTCCGTCACAAAAGATACCTAATTTTTATTATATTTCTAATTTTCTATTACATTCTCTGTCCCTTATTTAACTCCCATTTTGACTTTGCATGTTTCTTAAGAAAGAAGAAATTATATGGTTTAGATTTATCATGAGGAAAGAGACATAATACCAATCACCAAATTCATAAGTTTTTTCTTTAACTCTTAAGAGAAAAGAAGTATAACTTTTGGACGGGCAAAAAATGAATGAAGATAAATTAGAGATAGTGAAAATAATAAATTCATTATTTACAACAACAAAAAAATGAAACTGTTAGGAAGTAAGTGAGGCTTTGTGAGCTAATTTTGCTTCTAAAAACTTTTGTAAACTTGCTAAAAAAAGTACCTTTATGTATTGTACAGTAGTGATTTTTTTTGTTTATTCATTAAAATCATTCTATGATGTTTCCATTGCAGATTTAAGGAGCTACATTATGGAATATTCTGGTCCATGTTTCCTGGTTTCCCCAGTAAAGTTTAACATTCAAAAATCATATAAATAAAATACTTGCCTGGTTTGGTTCTGTAATTCGTAATTGGGGATGCAGTGTTTGTACTCTTGTTTAAACTCAGGATTGCTCTCCTTGATTGTGTGTTGCTTTAAACTTGACGGTTCATTTGGCAATCATCAAATCCTTAAATTTGTTTTTAAAAAAATCGAATTGAGGCTTTGTCTGAAGCTAAAACCTTATTGGTCTGCAATTACAAGCTCGAACTCTCGAACTTTTGTTTGTATTGGATGCTTTGTGATGGTATTAGAGTTTAGCTGACCTAGAGGTCGCAAGTTTTAATCTCACCGTCACACAATATGATTATTGTATGTTACAAACCGTATAATAACTACTATGTAATATAATTATTAAAACGGTTTGACATTACTCTTTTATATAGATAAACTATTTGAATACAATAATTAACGAAATGAACTTAGCAGTAGTTTATTGCATTATCAAGATGTAACACAATAATCTTCAAAATATTATTTTTAACAGAGCAATTTTGGAAATAGTGTATTGTGCGGACCTTAAAATTGGGTTTGAGATAAATGGGAACTAATGAAGTCTTGCTCAGACTTAGACTCGAACATAGGCTCGGGTATCTGACTCGTTCCGATAGCCCTGTCCGGAAAAATGCGAGCATTAGGCTTGAGTTTTAGCAATCGGGGCGGATGGGCCGTAAATTACGGGTATCCGCAAGTGTTGCGAGTCGGGCATGTGTTGTGTTGTTAAAGTCTGGGGATGGCCCAGCTCGATCCCTCTAAAGAGAGCCTTATTAGTAATATCCTTGTTACTCACAAAATTTACCATTTTTTCATACACCTTTTTATATCAATATCAATGATGACAAATTTTATGGTAGACTCAATGCCCACCATGCAACTACATATGAGTAAAATAAATATTTTCTTAGTACTTAAAAAAGTATATGTTTTTAATAAAAATGATTTTTTATGTGAGAAAGTCCATAAAAAAATTTATACAACCAAGTTGCACTTTAGAAGCACTCCTTAATGACACGATTTTCTACGTTGTATTTCTTAATTTTCATGTATTGACTCATGTTCTAAAAATAGCGAATAAATGGAGCAATACTTCAGTTTAATCTTTTGTTTTATCATTAACAATTTAGGAGTAAATTATATAGTTGGTTCTTTACAAGATATAGTTTTCCATATTTAGTCAACTATTATTAAATATTACGTGCGTGATCCGTCTTTTATGTGTATTTTTTCACGGATAGTCTTTTTGACTTTCTGTCATATTGATGTTAATTTGAAGACTAAAAGTATAATTTTGCATCGACTCAATGTTCAGTGATATATTCTAATATCGGCTTCACAGACAATACAACAATAATAGCTATGACTTTGAACTAGAATTCTGACTAAAGACAATACATGTGGACTATGGTTGTTGTGAACAACGATTCTAGTTACCAAATGAAACATCAGCAACGACCTCTTACATTAGATATGATACGAGAGATATATGATCATTTGGAAATTATACAGAGAAGGTAAAAAAAGAACTAGTCGTAATAATGTACCAATAAAATAAGAACTTAAGACATAATATTTGATAATAATGGATTAAAATTGAAGATATCTTATTATAAAATTTACTCATAATAATTTCTTAAGAAGTAGTATCCTATCCTATCCTATCATATATATATATGTGTGTGTGTGTGTGTGTTTGTGTGTGTGTGTGTAAAGTTAAGTTAACTTCTTGGGGTGTGGACATTTGGCATGCCACATGTGCATCTATATGTGCATTGGTACTTCATTCAATAATGTTTTATTATATCCTATATATCCTATATATCATATTATTTAATTAATCCGTTTTTTATTACTCCGTATAATATTTTATTAATTAAAATCATTTTCATTAGTACTTCATTCAATAATGACCATTAGTTTTGTATAAAATTTTTGTTTTTAAATAAACATACCAATACATATTCCACCAGTTTAAAACATATTTTATTCACACAATTAAAGTATATATATATATATAATATTTTTTAACTTTATCGATGTTTTGAAAAATTAAGTTTTATATGGTTTTTAAAAACAATAAATCATTCCTCTTTTACTATTTTTAAAGAAAATACTTATAAAGTCTTTAGTGCATTTACATCTATATTTAAATTATATTATTTGAAAAAAGATATATCTTAGAGTTAAAAAAAATATTTATCTAACACATACTATGTCACTATTAGAAAACTTAAATAAATAAAATTATATATATACATAGAATATCAAAAATTTAGAATGTATACGAGGTCGTGCGAAGCACGGAGTTAACATTAGTTTTTCCTTATAAAACATGTTTTTAGAAAAATATTTTTTCCTAACCAACCCAAATATGTACGTAGTATTAATCTTTAGAAATCATTCTAAATAAGACTAAAACATAGAGAAAAGTATCAAAATAGGACTTTCATATTTTTTTTCCGAAATAAGACTTTGCATTGTGGTAATGTGACTTTTCACTGTGGTAATGTAGCACTGTACATGTGCACTTTACTATACTTTTTTGGTAATGTATATGACCATGTTTGGTAATGCAAGTCCTATTTCAGGAATAAAAACATGGAAGTCATATTTTAGTATATTTTTAATGTTTTAGTCCTATTTTGGTCTTTCTACCAAATGTTTGCAAACATAAAAAAATGTATTAATGTTTTTTTTTCCAAACCAAAAAACAGTGAAATACGTACTGTTAAAGAAATCGGGCAATAGAATTCTTCGTCATTCCTCAATCCAGCCATTCTCTCACAAAACTAAACCCTAACACACTTCTCAATCTCTCGTGCTACTGGCCAAAAAACCCAACACCAACGTGAGACCCAAGTTCCTCCATTGATTCTCGTAATTTATTTCTTAATGTCTTTTCAAGCGTTTTTTTTGGAATTCTTTAGTTAGTTCTTTATATTATCTTCATTTCCACTCAAAATCTGCGATTTTTATTCATACTTTTGGTTTAGTTACTGGAGGGATTCGTAGTTTTGCTATCAGTTATGGTGGGTTGATTTATGCTTTGTATGTAATGTGTGTTCTGTTCAATAACTTCAATTATAATTCATTTTCAGGAAAGACTGCAAATAATGGTCTACTTGGGCATAATTACCTCATCTGAGGCTTGCTGATCTGTTCCACTGCCCTTTCGTGTCGATTGTCCCCATTTAGTAGGAATTTTTTGTAAAAAGGAAGAAAAGCATAATTTAGGTCCCCCATTTGTGTAATTTGTAAACAATGCTGCATTTTATATTTTTATCTGTGTATTATAACTGAAATCATTTGACCTGAATTGAATTCTTCCACCCATTAAATCTTCTTTCCACTTGATTGGCCTGCTATACATAACTGCAGAGTTTTTGGGGATTCTAATTTTGCTTTATTTATATATTCAAAAGGCTTTTGACGTCTTTACCTTTAATTGCTTGATTGCCTGGAATCCAAGAAGTTCACATTTCTGTAAGATGGAGAGCTTGGCACACCTTGAAGCATTGTGCGAGAGGCTCTACAACTCACAAGATTCAGCTGAACGAGCACATGCAGAGAATACTCTCAAATGCTTCTCAATAAACAGTAGCTACATCTCACAGTGCCAATACATTTTAGACAATGCATCAACACCTTATGCGTTAATGATGGCTAGTTCAAGCTTGTTGAAGCAAGTGACAGATCAGCATCTATCTTTGCAGCTTCGGCTTGATATTCGTAATGTTCTTATTAGCATGGAGTGTTTTCTTTTTGGATTTTCAGGCTACATAACTTTTCCTCTTCCCCAAATCTACATTTGACTTTTCTGTGTGGCTCTCTAGGGGTTGTATGTTATTCCTTGTTAAATAGGATGACTCATAAAAGCATTTTAAAGCCATCTTCTCTACTTCTTATATGCATGAGATGAAATATGTTTTTCTTCTAATTTTATGTATTTGAATATTTAGTTATGGATTATAAACTGCAATGGATAGTGAGTAGTACATGGTTTCTATAGGAAAGTAGGGAGGGGGAGGTATATTTAAAAACAACACGTGAAATCATTTGCAACATATCTGCACTATTAGACGTACTGTTGCAAGTATTATGCACTTTTACCCTACTATGTATTATATATATGTGTGTGTGTGTGTGCCAGTTACGAGGTATGATGGATGTCCCTAACCTTCATAAGGAAACACTCTTGGTTTTTTACAGGCCAACCCCAATGGAGTTGGGATTGTTTGCCCTTTAGTCCTTAACCTTCATTATATACACACACTCACAAAAACACGACACACACGACACACCTATATGTATGTAGGTTTGTGGTATTCACACATTATGATGTCTTGCCAATTGAGAGTTGTTTGGCTGATCTTCACCTTTTCTCAAGGAAACTATATCATAAAGTACCTGGCCACAAGAGGACCTGGTTTGGAGTCTTTTGTAACTGCTTCTCTAATCCAACTGTTTTGCCGGGTTACAAAGTATGGGTGGTTTGAAGAAGACAGTTTCAGGGATGTGGTTAAGGAATCAACAGTCTTTTTGAATCAGGTATATATGATCTAATGGTAAAGCTATAATAATATTGAATAAGCTGTTTGTACTCTTACTTATTTTTTCAAAAACCTCGAGCTACAAATTACTGGCTGTATATGTTTCCTGGTTATATGCTAATTGTGCACATTGTCGTATACTGTGCATCTACATTTTTCAATGCTCGTCTTAGTACCTGCTTCTTTTATTTTTTAATATCTGTTTTATATTTGCATGTACTCAAATTTATGCATCTATCACCAATAGAGTTAAAAGAGTCATTTTTTACTATGTTGTAGCTTTGGGTTAAAATGGACTAAGGCACTATACACTCTCCTTGCTTGTTTTCTATGAAGTTTTGGATAATAAATGCATCCAGGGTCTAACGGAAACAGTCTTTCTATTTTATTATATGGCCACTTACATTTTGATCCTAGGCCCCAATAAAGTTGAGATTATACAGGGCATGTTGTTGTGATTGTTGCATGTAGTCAAAACTATGTCTATAAAGTATAGGCTCTTAGTTTGCAATTTTTTCTTATGCGTTGCTTTTAATGTCCTCAGACACCATTGCATTATGCTATTGGTTTGAAGATATTGAATCAACTGGTTTCTGAGATGAATCAGGTATGGTTGTTCTCTTTAAACTCTTTCATTCCTTTGTTATTGTGCCTTACTTAGAGCTATCCCCTTGTAACTGAGTTTAATAAATGTGTACTAGTACACTCTATTGTCATCATCATCGTCATCATCCTTATCAACATCTTATTGTAAGCATTAAAGTTAGTGTGGAAAATAATCGTGTACCGATAATCAACATTATGATTTCCTGCAAAAACAAACCGTGACAATGTTGTGTGATGGATGCCTTTAACCTTAACAACAAAACATTATATTTGTATTTTACAGGCTCAACTCTAGACCCCAATGGGGTTGGGATTTTTTGCCCTCAAGTCCTTAACCTTCATAAGAAGGAACGACAAGTCTAGTATAATTCCATAAAATGTAGGCTCTAGGAGGGTGTGTTTACACAAATGAGATGAAAATCCTAAAGCGTCCACCATCATAAATCATCTCCAAATACATGAAAAGTATCATGACAAAAATGAAGAATTGAGATATTGCCATTGCTATTATGCATTACAACGTTGATATTGTAAAATTAATTGGACATTGTGGAACATGATCAATATACTATTAAGTGTGTGAATTAGAATGTCTATAGCTTTGGCCTGAAACATGAGCTACTTATTGCTTTATATTTCTATAAATACCTTAATTATGCGTGAGATTTTAGAGAAGCACAAAGGTAGGTTTTGACAAACCTTTTTCTTTAGAGACTTTCATTTGCTTGTTTTAATAAACTAATGTGCTAGTGGGCTAGCATCCATGTAGGCATTACAACTCCTTGTATTTAGATTTTTAACTTAGAAACTGCCCGCTATAGTGAGAAGAAACTCTTTTGTACATTCATTACCAAACATTGTAAAACTCTATTTTTTAAGAAAGAAAATGCATTTTTCAAAAAAAAAAAAACAATACATAGATAGTGGAAAGTAGTACCTCTCATATAATGTAGGATCGAATGAGAATCATTTTTATGACAAGAAATGAGAATACATTGTGTACTTTTACCAATATGACATGTTAACTCGTCCCTACTGCCATACCCATTCACCTCCATTCGCACTCCGTTACCATGTAACTACCCATCGCTATTGTTATCTTGTCATTATCCTCACTTTTTTCTCCCAGTCTTATAGAACTCGAGATTGGTGGGGAAAATAAATGAAAGATTGTCTTTATCGAATTATGAAATCAGGATCTAACATCATAAATAATAGAGATGTAGGAGAATCTTTATTAGAATATGAGTAAGAATCTTAAACTCATATAACTAATAAAGGTAAGGCGAATCTCCAATGTTAAAATACTGTGATGAATATGTCCTTTGTGGGAATATTAATTCCACTTTGTGAATTATGATGTAATTTTTTCCTAAGGACAACAAAGCCCGTACTCATTGATAGAGAGCAATTTATTCTTAAATATGTCCTGAACTAGAGATTATGAATTATGATGTAATTTTTTCCAATGTATGATGATGTGATCAAGATATACAACTTGCATTGAAAGAGATTCTAGGAAAGCTATTACTTTTGCTATGTTGTATGGCTTGGAGTTAGGCAGTTATGTTTCAACATGTTTACTAAATGTTGGCAGAAGTGACAAATACTGTGATGTAAGCCTATTAAAAATAAGAAATACAACAACAACAACATTACCCTAGTGACAAATAGGGACAAAAACATGAATGAGGTGTTAAATTTTAAAATAGGAGTAGCCATGATTAAGGATAAGATGTGAGAATTGTTTGAGATGTTTTGAAGTGTTTGAAGAAGCTCTGGTTAGGACTTAGTAGGCATGAAGGCAAAGAGTGACAGAGAAAGTACCAAGTTAACGAAGGCATACATAGTTATATGACATGTAATGGTTATGATGAAGCTTGTAGAGGAGATAACTCTTGACAATTAAAAATATCATTGCATGATCTATATAACTATCACATTCATCGGAGCTGAGTCCTTATTGAGGATATGATCTTAGATAAGAGCGTTTGGAGATTAAGGACTTGGGTAGTGAGGTAGGCTTTTGGGCTTGGTGGTTGGTTTTACATGTGTCGTTATGTGATTTCTTTGCTTGGTTCTTTCTCCTTGTTTGTTCTCTTCATACACCTTAGTTTGCTACTCTTTTCGCGTGTTCTATGCTTTATGTGCTTGTTAGGGGTGAACCGGGGGTCTTATCAAGTTGGAAAGTTGATGGGGAATTGGTAAAGGAAATGAATGGGCAGTGTTATAGGCCGAGTTGGTGAGGGATGAAAAGGGGAGGTAGGGGTGTTCTCTTGGCTTGAGAATGCAAAGGAAAATGTAGGAGATATGTTCGAAGAGGCCTGGGTGAAATGGTGATATATGCAGGAAGAGTTCTTTTTGGTATTTTTGGATGAAAGAAAAGAATTAAGTTTAAGAAGAAGAAATGGAGAGATATGAAATGGGAAGAGGTAAAATGAAGGGATAAACCAAGTTGGTGTTTAAGAGATATTACACACTCTTATTTTAACTTGGGGTTAAGTCTAGAACTTAATTAAGATATAACACACATAACACACTTAATTAAATATCTAGAACCTAAAACTCACACTTAAGATAACCACTCTTAAGATATAGATTTAGGAATTTAAATAGCAAACACAACAAGTGTATTACTAAATGGAAAATGGAATTACAATCTGAGTCTCACAAAATGGCCTAAGGCCGAAATAAATACACACACATAGAGGGGAAACTTCCCAGAAACATCCACTCACAAATCACAAGAATAATATCCATTTGTTTATGTTTTCTTAATGGAATGAAATCAGGGATTTGGTCTTTGATTTTCATGGCTGGTGGCTTGTTCTTTAGTGAGGAAAATCACAAGGAAATAAGTGATGATTCTTGGGAAATAATGGGGGACAAAGGGGATGGGTGATGGTTGGTTTTATTGGCCTTATATTGGGTCATTCATGGAAGGTATGTGGGGACTGATTTGGTGGGTGGAGTGTCAATAAACTCACAAAAGTCTTTTGTCCTTTTGTTATTGTTTAT